TCCAATAGAGTGACTTGCTCACCCCTATAGATTGTACATTTTAAGCTAGCACCTAAACAATAACATTACAAAGAACAATTGTAATAATATAAAGAACTATTTTATATACAGAGTGGCACATGACCAAATTAAGCAGTTTCTGTTAAGGGGGCACTGAAGGCAGTTCTCTCTCTACCACTTCAGCATGCCAGTTTGAAAGTGAGCCTCTCACCTGTTTACAGCTCCCTGTCCCAAACTGTTGTCCTCTTTGGTCCCTGTGGTGGCCCCCTGGGTGGCAGGTATTCCCCAAATGAAGGAGCCTTTCTCCAGGGAAGTTTCCCAGAGCTCCTTTTTATGTTCTTCCAAACTCTTTATTCTCTGTCGTAAAAGATGAAAACTACATTTGCATATTTCTTTGCACATTCAATCGGTTAATAATATGTTGTTTTAATTAAAAAGAAAGAATATCAAATACACAGATATGTAGTTGGAAGAGGCCAGATTATTTTAGAAGCCGTTCCAGGTAATTTGTTAATTTATGTGATTTCAAGAAGAATCTTGAGATTCAAATAATAATTTAACGTTTTGTTTCTAAGCAAACTGTATCTGTTGAGAAGATTTCTTCTAAAGAATTTATTCCATGTTTTAGTGCTGATTCCAGAGAAGTAGCACAGCAGGTAGAGTCAGGCCTATGCACTGACTCATTTACAAAGTTATAGATGCACTTATGTTGGTGAGATTCTAGTATATTGTAAAGATATTTGAATAATTTTATTCTATTTTGTTCAGGCTGTTATTATTGGTCTCAAGTTGATGCTACAATTTTGCAAGCACCATAATACTATTTAAAAATAAATGTTACATAAAATACAATAAGGCGGATTCAGTCAATCATTGTAAATTATCCCCATGCCTAATACACCGCACCCTCCACTGTCTACACCTCAGCATCTTTCATTGCCAGAACATATAGTAGTTCTGGATCTGTTGAAATACATCTATAACTATTCAGTCAATTTCTGGGGCCTTAAGTTTTTGCCATTAACTTCAGTGCAGCTTGAGCTTCTTCATTGATTATCAGTGGCTCTTGTTCATATACTATTTCCTGAAATGGTTCAATGTTGACCAATTCTTTTTGGTACAGTGATTGCCTATAATTCGTCTATCTTTCATTATTGGTTCCAGAGAATCAAATAATATTTTGCCCCAATAATCCTTCATTGTTCTTCAGTTTTCGTTCAGCTTAAAAATGTCAACCATATTGGTCTCTTCTGGCTTTCTAACTTCCACTCTGCACATTTCATTCTATTTGCTCTGTTTTCTTGAGCTGCCTTTTGCACCTGTTTAGCTCTCTTACTTCAGCAGTTCCTTTGTTTTGGCCTCTCTACATTCTAGTAAAGTTTCAGAGACTCTTATGATGTCCATTTTGATCTTTTCTTTCCTGCCTGTTTTTGTAATGACATTTTGCTTTCTTTGTGGATGATGCCTCTACGAATCAAATCCATTCTTGAGGTAGTTTTTAAATTCCGTTAACAAAAATTGATGGACGTATTTTGGTTCTAGTAGACTTGTTTTGACTGCTAACACTGAGCTTTTCCATTACTTGTTCCACAGATGCGGTCATTCTGATTCCTTTGTAGCGCATAAGGAGAAGTCCATATGTATAATCGCAAATTATATTTTATAAAAAAGGCATTATTTTTCAGTATTTAAAGATAACTATGTGGCAGACTGACTAGCAGAATTTCATATTTGCTGTCATTCCAAAACAAAGCAATCCAACAAAGTGTGAACATCAGCAGATAATATCATTAATGCCACATGCAATTGAAATTTTATGGAAGGTTCTTTTAAAATTACTGGAGTAATACATCAACAGAAACTTCCAGAAAATCAAGGCGATTTGATTTTCACACTGGATCTTTCCCATTACTTTTACCCACCACTCCCTACACCCATCAAATTGCGTGACCCTATTATTAACCCCTCACCTACCGCCCACCCTCACCCCTCTGCTCCTACTATCCACCCCTTGGATCCTCATACACGTTTTACTAGTTATCATTCTATTTCTACAATAATGGTCTTATACCGCATTTGTCCTAATGGGATTGAGTTCGTTCACTTAGCACAATGCTTTCCAGTCCCTCTCAAGTTAGGTAGTGATTTTCAAAATCATTGTTCCTGTATGCAGCATAGTATTTCATCTTGTGAATGTACCACAGTTTCAAAGTCTGTTCGAATGTGGTTGGATATTTGGGTTGTTTCCATATTCTTGTGATGGTAGATAACACTGCAGTGAATATTGGTGTGAAAATCTTCATTTATGCTTCAGTTCTAAGTTTCTCCATATATATTCCAAACAGTGGAATAGCTGGGTCATATGGAATTTCTCTTTTCAGATTTTTGAGGAAGCACTAAACGATCTTCCAGAGTGGTTGTACCATTTTACAGTCCCACCAACATTATAGAAGAGTTCCTATCTCATCACATCCTCTCCAACATTTGTTACTTGCTGTTC